TCTGCAGAACTCAAGTCTTGCAGAACARTGTTTAGCCACAGCATCTCTCCAAACCACCTTGATTTTGGCTTTGGAGAACAAGTGCTGATGCATTGCATTGATTTGGTGCAGCCATCACTGCTGCCCATGCAGGTCCAGCAGGGTCATCTGCTTGGCTCAGCAGCCTTCCTCAGGAGYGTGGCAGGACTCACCCTATGGTCTTCAGGGTGGCACTGGGGACATGGGYATGGGGACAGCTCCCTCCATACCACCTGGAGGAGCCAGGAGACCCCAGGCTCATCTTGCGGTTCAACCTCACCTCCAGCACRAGGAGAAGTCTAGGTTSTGATCTCGGGCAAAAGGGCTGCTGATGTTGAGGAAACAGAGCAGAAGAATAAAGGGCAATTTACTCTCTACAGAAACACTATTAAAAAGTCTTAAAAAAATACTTAATAGCAAAGGAGCTATTTGCGGAGCTGCAAAGTCCTCTTGGGCAATTGCAGCATAGAGCTGTTTTCCTCTCGTCAGGGGCTGCAGCTCAATAATGAGGCTCCCTCTGTGTGGTCTCCAGTGACCCTGTCACTCGCCTCGTTGCTAATGAGCCTTGTAAGCGCAATGAGAAGAAGGGGCCTGTGCTCCCTGATGCAAACAGGGATGGCACCGGATACTTGTTTTCCAGAGAAACTCTTGCAACGCTTCCATTTGCACTTTTTATCTTCAAAATGAGCTTCCCTGCATTGGGTTTGCTGGGGCAGCAATTCTTGTTGTTGGTGCTTTGTTCCTGGGGCCCTGGTGGGACCAGGAGCGCTGGTTGCTGCAGGCGCTGCCAACTTGGATGCAGCAACGGTCCCCTGCCTTAATGAGGAGGCATCTCACAGGCTTGTGGGCTAGCGGCAGGGATTGGGAATAGCAGAACTCCAAGTTCTCCTCCCAATTTCTGTGACCTTGGATATCATTTAAAGAGGGAGATGGAGGACAATTCTCCTCTGAAAACCAAGTAAAAATAGCACTTTCATATTCAGCATATCTGTTTCTTGTGCATATTCAGTGTCCTTTTTGCTGACTGTAACGGTAAAAACGCAGACCTCTCTGCTCCTGCTAGCCCTGCATTGCCAGCGAGGCCGAGGGAGGGAGAGTGCGAGTCCGACTGCGCCGTCAGCACGGCGGGCGCGGAGCTACGTCAGCTCTGCCCTGAAGCAGTGGACGGGTTGCTGCTCAGGGGCTGTGACCAAACGTGGCCTGTGGCATCTTGTCTTGTATGTCAGTGATAAGGGACAAGGAGGTGAGTTTTCTTTGCAGTCCTGAGAACAGTTTGCAGAGAGAACTGCTTGTTTCTTTATACAGAGTAGATTTGTGAGATGGTAGAGTTCTGCTTGTTTGGCAAAATTCTCTCCATGGCTTTTCAGAGCAGACCAGCAACCAGACCGGCAACGCAGTCTTTCCCTACCTCTGCTTTCCTCTCAGCACACTTGTATAAATCCTACAACCGCTTCCCAGACTGTGAGATGAATTCATCTGCTGCTTGCCAGTTAGATACTTCAATGAATGGTGTTCTAAGAGTTTCAACCAAGTTCCCTTGGCTGTCAGTGTCCACGGGTCACGTTCATTTAACAAGGCAAACCACAGCACACTGCTTTGGAAAAGCTGGCTGGTGACTTGTAGGATCTCTTTGCCGCTCTGGACAAAATCTATAAACACCTCTTTATTTATTTCCACTGCATGGTGCACAGGGTTAGTTGGCTGCTGCTGAGGTGATGCCATATCTTGCTGGTTCTCACCATGCACGAAGCACCCGATATGGATGGATCGGAGAGGAATGTGTCACCCATGATTGCCCAGACAGAATTATTGGCTGAGTTACCTATTGATTTTCTAATCATTTTCAGACACACACCCCCACCCGGTGTCACTGCCAAGGCAGACCACAAATTGGACTGCGGCTGAATTGATGTGGGATTGATTAAAACTCACAGTAATTATTGGTTCTCTGCTGCCTGAGCCAGACGAATCAATGTCAGCAATAACAGATATGATTCTCTGTAAAAGACCAGAAAATACTGAGCAAATGCCGTTTTTTTAAATTCATCTGAGAGTCTGTTCTCAACCCTTCAGTTCAGCCCATGGAGTCAGGATTAGCATGTGACTACTTTTTTTTTTCTTTTTTTTTTTTTTTTTTTTTTCTTTCCTAGGTATGTTTCAAGTGTGTTCTCTGTGGGCAAGAACCTTGTAGCCCCCAAAGAGACTTTAGCTGTCCCTTGGTTCTGATCTCTTTATGGGACATCCTTGTTGCAAACCCCCTACCAGCAAGGCAAGGAGATCCTCGATTGCAATAAAACTTATTTGCAGCCAATAGTTGCTCCATCCCATCTTTAAGTGATGCAGATATTACTGGGAAGTGCAGGCAGAACTTGCAGCCCAAGGGGACTGAATTTATTCCTGCTTCCTCTGCCGTGTGCCTGTTTGTTTTGCTGGCTGTCWCTAATTGCAGAGCTAGCTGGTTCCCCTGGGTCACCGTCCCTGTCATCTTCTCCCCGAAGGGGAGCGCGTTGTTGTGCGGGTACCCGTCCCTGCTCCGTGTTGGCTGTAAGAGCTTCCTGTCCCTGGAGAACTTGTCGCTGCAGCTCAGCAGCTGGCTGGAGAGACGGCTCCCCAGAGCCAGGGGATGTGCAGGGAGGAGAGGAGAGGGGGCTTTCTCTTGCAAATTTAATGCTGAGCTATTTGCATTCCATAATTAACGTGTATTAGAATGCATAATTATAAGTGGAAACAAAGCATGCATCCTGGTGATTAAAAGCCAAACTGGAGATGTGTGTCCCACGGGGTCACCTCCGTCAGAGTAGGACTAAGATAGGGAGGGTCTTTCATGACCCACTGACCCAGTCTCAGGGAAAGAGCCATCATCTTCCTCTGTGCAAAGATGCTGATCTCAGGATATATATCCCAGGGTGATGATCCCCATTGACAGCTCTGAAATGCCTCTACTGAGCCCGTGTCTGTGATCCTTTGGCTGCTGCTCACTTAAAATCCCATCCACTACCTCTTGGCTTCCTTGGAAGATCTCCTATGAACTCCAGGAGGGTCTTGTGCAGAGCCCTGCTAAGTGGGGCAGACTGGGAAGCACAGAGCCTTCCAGCTCCCCTTGGCAAAGTGCTGCCCCTGCCCCGTGCTGCCCCAGAGCCGAGAAGTGGATGTGGTGCCAGGGCATGTACAGAGCTGTTAATGCTCAACTCCAAGTCCTCCTGGGAGGTCCATTTCTGCCAATTTGCACAGTTCTTATAGTGGTGCCTGCAGAACAGGAAGAGACTGCAGTAGATGCACTGTTATATCTGTGGATTTATAAATGCGATTATCCTGATCTCGTTTCCCAGACACTCAGCAGTGAAATGCACAGATCGTTCTTAGCAGCCCTTCGTCCTTATTTACTCTGCGTGTGCATCTAGAAAGCTTCTTCCTCCTTTGCCTTCTGCTTCTTTGGGCCAAGGTAGGACTACTGGTTCCAGGGCTGCCTCTTAGCACCTTTTGGCCTCTGCTTTTCCTGATGCACAAAGATGGAGACATCCAAGGCCATCATATCTTGTTCTTTGCTGCTCTGGCTGGAAAAGCCTGGTGCCTTCTCTGCTTTCCCTTGTCTCTGTGCCCTATCCTGCTCCAGAGCCAGCACGGAGGATGCTGAGGTTTTTGAGGGCCACCTGAGTTCCTGCAGCTGAGTTGAGGGCAAAATGGCAAGAGAGAGCAGACTGTGAGTCATGACTATCAGTTGTGCTGCAGCAGCATCTCCACACTTCTGCTATGGGGAAATGGCAAACTTGTGCCAGGCAATGGCCCTGTCTTTCTAGGGTGTGACAAAGGGCCTTTTTTGTCACTTGTGCCTGATGGTCTGGGACTCCCTCAAGCATCTTGTCAATGTGCAAGGGAGGGAGGTCACCTTCTGAGCAGGTAGGTGCTGATGGGCACCTGTGGGCAAGCCGTGGTAGCCAGTCTCCCATTGGGCACCTGCCTGTGGCAGCAAGAACAGGGTCCAGCATCTCCATAACTTTTATTAATATGTGCAGCATTTTGCTCGCATAGAAAATTGATTTTCTTTTATAAGCACGAAGTATAGCGGTTTTATAACCTTTCTTCTGCTTGACAGAGGCCATTTATAACCTCCCTTCATCACTACCTGTACAAGCTCCATTCTAGTTCGTCTTTAAGAAGTTCCATAATGCATTTTTAATTGTGAGCTGCTCCTAGACAAGATTTATCTATTTCTTCAAGGACTGGCCTTTTTGTTGTTGTTTGTGTGCATGTTTGGTGAAAAGGGATAAATAACTAGGGTGGAATTGAAGAGTGCTTTAGTCTGGGTGATAATTTATTGACAGCATTTCCTGCCTGCTGGTTTTTATCTTTTGGGAGGAGGAAAACCAGCTGGGGAGTTGAAATTAAAACCGAGAGCCAAATCCCCAACTTGTGTGAGTCAGCGTGGTTCCCTTAACTTTGGAAAAGTGCTCTAGTTAGTCTCAGCAGAGATCTGTCCTCCTGCAGTCCTTCCTCTGCTTTTGCAGATAGCCAAGCGGCMCCGAGAGCTGCTCTTCGACACAGGTTTGGAAATGACTGGGTAGAGACCAAGCTGCTGCAGTCATTAATGAAAGTACAGCTGGAAAAATAAAAGCACTGATAAATAAATGGTAAAGGGTTTCTCTAGTGTATTATAGAGCAGGTTGTCATGATTAACCCCACCYGGCACAGGGCTCTGTGGGTTTGTAATCTTGCTGCATTCGGAGTTTTATCTTTCTCCTGAGTGAGGTTGGTGAAAGAGTTTTTCATAGAAGATCAGGCCCCTCCTGGGATTCTTTGCCCTTTTCCAAAAGTTGGATGTTGATTCAGGGTAGTGGCCAGCTGAGCTGTTCCATCACACTTGGGACGAAGCCAGCTCCTGGAGTTGGCAGTAGAGTTCCTTTGGGAGGACAGACATTGGACTGGGACTCCAAGGTGCCTATGGAGATGTACCTGTTACTGACCCGTGTCTCCTCTCGCTGCAGTGCCCCGAGGACCTGAGACCCATGAAGGATGGCACTGGATGCTATGACTACTCCAAAGGCATTGACTGCTCTGATGGCTTCAACGGYGGCTGCGAGCAGCTCTGCCTACAGCAGACTCTTCCTCTGCCGCATGATCCCTCATCCAGCACCATCTTCATGTTCTGCGGGTGAGTCCCTGTAGGGCGCTGGTTTTGCCCATCAGTAGCTCAGTACTTGCTGGTTCCCTTATCCTTCCCTGCCAACTCTCCTTCTGTGCCACCCATGCCTCCAAACTGGCAGTGCAAGGGGTCTAGGCATGTTGTGTGCACCCAGCAGAGGGATTAGTTGTGTAGCTGCAAGGGGCTTTGTTCATGCACGTGCTCAGCTTCCAGCAGAGATTTAGGCACCTGGTTCCCCTATAGGCAAAAGGGGATGTGAGCAGCAGTGTGAGCAGATGGACAGATGCACCTTCCTCATCTCCCCCCGCCTGGACTCTGTGGATATAGAGGCTGATCTCTGATTCACTGTAAATGTATGCTAAAACTGTATATTGCGTGTTGGAAGGGGAAGGCAGAGCACTTTGTTTTCTTTTTAAGAAAAAAAAATCTTTTATGTGCTTTTCTTAAAATAGAGTTTCATCCCTGGTTTTGGCCAGGATCCTATAATCCTACACAATTTAGCATTTTGTCTAAGGAAAATCTCCCTGACTGCAGTATGTACTAAAAGGAGCTCAATGATTATCTGGCTTTATGCTGCACAGCTGCAGAAACAGTCATCCATCACGCGCGCTGTCCCGCAAGCRGCGCCGGTGCAGGGGCTCTGCAGAGCGCATCAATCTGCTGGTTCACATGCACATTTTGTCCCTCTCCTGCACAGGAACCTAATCCGTGTCCTTGGGGTGAGGATCAGGGACAGGGAGGGGAAAGGAGCCCGTGCAGGAGGGAAGTAACTACAGAAGAAGATTGTGCAGAAGAATGGGCAAGAATGGGCAGSTTTGTCCGTCTGCCTGTGTCCCCATCCCGTATCACCACCCTCTGCCATCCCTATGCAGACCCTCTTAACAGGCATGCAGGGAGGCAAGCAGAGTGCCCTTGCGATGCAGCAGATACTCCAGAGAGACAGGACAGATGACAAGTGTCTCAAGCCCAAGAACCAGCCCTTGAGAAGAGCAAGCTGCCATGGACTGAGGCCCAGGGGCATCACTAAGGCCAAAGGATGTAAAGGATGCTCTGAACGTCCCTATAAAGGACACTTTCATGGGCCAGTGGATGAGGGAGATGTTTTCTGGGGCCCAGTCCCACTGCATCTCCCTAAGTCCTCCTGGGGACATGCCACGTGTCCCTGCTAAAAGGAATCTTTGACTTTCAATGAAATGAGAGTCATGGGCCATATGCAGTTGGGAAAGCAAATTCCTAAAAGTATCTTCTTTTTTATTGTTATTTTGTCACTAAGTGATTGAGTCACTAGGATAGAGCATGTTGCCTCCGTTGGGAGTGCAGGTCAAGAAYGGGAAGTCCATGTGGGCCCAAGCAACATTTCCAGGGAGAGTCGGCAGCTCGTGGGGTGGAGCAGAGGCTGCTCAGTCGCGCTGCTGGCAATGTCATTCTGCAGTCACTTCCTTCTGCAAGGCAGAAGGCTCCACTTCAGGAACCAGCAAGGGAGCGTGTGACAGTGGGTGGAAGTATAAAGGGAGGAAAGGAAGAGGGAGAAGAGAGCATGCATGGCTAGATGAGGGATTCCTGTCAGCAAAATCACTGCCTGTTCCCAGTGAGAAAGTGTAGGACAAGGGAAATGGAAGTTTTCTCATCAACTAGGAGCTGCAATGGTAAAGAGAAAAGAGAAAAGGAGGGAAGCAGGATGAACACTTCCACAAAAGATGGCAGTGATATGTGATGTCTGTAGCCAACTCACATCCCTGCTGTTTGCCTCAGTTTCCCTTACTGTATGTGGAAGATAAGAACGTGCTTTATCCCCAAAATGCTCAAAAGCAGAGCCAAGGAATAAAAGAGCAACCACTTTGCAGATGATCCCTTTCAGGAAGCACAAGTGTCTGTTGGTTGCTGCCATGTGAGAACAGCATCTCCAGATTTCCCTGTTCTTGCTGGAGCAGGGGAAAGTGTTGGTGTCTCTGTAGCAGTATTGGGGCACATGAGCTGGTTTGAAGCTGATAGTTAAAGATGGAACCAGTCATGAGCTTCGTGCTCAATTTTGACCTTCAAAATAGGGGCAGGTGCTCAAAGCTGCCCACAGTGCTGGCTGTCTCTGTGGCTGCTCCAGGAATAGCCAGAACACCCTGGTCCTCTCTGCTGAGAATGGTCCTTCTCAGTTGCATTTTGTTTCTTGTGTAGGCCCTCTGCAAGGCTCTTCTAACATAGGTTGTGGTTGCTCTGCAGGTGTGTCGAGGAGTACAAACTGGCCCCGGATGGCAAATCCTGCCTCATGTTGTCTGACATCTGTGAGGGCCCCAAATGCCTGAAGTCAGATGCTAAATTCAATGATACCCTCTTTGGGGAGATGCTCCACGGCTATAACAACAGGACCCAGCATGTCAACCAAGGCCAAGTGTTCCAGATGACTTTCAGGTACTGCCCAATTCTGCTCATAGTTTTGAACGCATCAGGATGGGACCAAATGTCCCTTGGCACAGAGAGAGCGAGCTCTGACACATTCACAAGTGGATCCTGAGGGGGGGAAATGGAAGAGGGTGAGCATGAATGATTTTCCTACTGACTTGTTCCTCATGCAGACAGAAGCATAGGGTCCTTTTGGGCCAGTGCTTGTTGCTTCAGATGAGTGTTTAATAGCCTTTTGGGCTTTTTTCTGGGTTGTCATCTCGTCCCTTTCTCAACTCTCATGTCTTTCGTGCCTCTGACATCTGGTGCCAGTTGAGTTCTGCTGTTTAATTGCACACAGAATGAAAATGTCTTTTGTTTTGCATGTTTTTAACTTATGTGAGATAACTGTGTTGGGAGAAGTCCTGTATATGACATTGCACAAAAGAACTATGATGACGCAAGGTAAACATGATGTGAAAGTATGAATAGCCAAATGGAGTGTGTTTGCAGGCTATAATCTGAGTATATCTCTAGTGTGGAGGGAACCGCTATAGGTAAGAACAGGTTTCAAATACTACAGATCTTTCAGTGCTTGGCGATGACAGTTTCCTCATAATCACTGAATTCAGGAGTGGAAAATCAGTAGATTTATTTCTTTTGTTAGGTTCTGTTCAATGGTGGCATGTTTTTGTTGAGCGATAATAATTCTGAGCTTCCATGTATCTGTGCAGATTTCTACCAGGAAAGGCTTCAAATACTATGTCCATATTCTACTGGACAAGGCTCTTGCAGCATGTCTCCATGTGGGCTAAGGATTTTTTTCTTCCTGCTTTTAAGGCACTGAGACTCCTTTGCCGCCTCGTATTCTTGCTGAAATTGTGGGTGTTGTCACCTCAGGTCATGTTGTTTTTCTGGGTGCTTTTTCCCTAGCTGAATGTAAAGTCTTCTYGGTTGTGAATTCACACTGAACTCTGGCCTTTGCTGTCTTGATGGGAGATGAATTACTGCCTCTACCAGCTCAGAGGCATTCAAAAAGCAGTAGCAAGCCGAGTGCTTGGAGCCAACAGATCAGCAGCCTTTGCTGGAGGTGAGAATTGACAGTATGTGAAGGCAATTTTCCCCAGTAAGCTCCTCTTTAGTTTCTCTCCYTCCCATGTGACAAGCTTCAGTGGGCCCTCCAGGGCAGAGCCAGGCTGCAAGGCTGAGGTTCTTTTTTGTTTTTCCCAGTTATAAGCTTTAACTCGTGATGGCTGAACAGCTCTGGAGGCTTCAATAAAACCACCCAAACCTGTCACCTGGCAGCAGTGCAGACGAGAGCCAAGCGGAGCTCGTGCAGCCGCTCTCTCGACAGCAACACTCCTTTTGCCGGGGCTTTAATCTTCTCCCGGACTCCTCTGGTAGCCTGGCCTTTCCGTACACCTGAGCTGGAGGATCTGAGGAAGGCAGCCTTCCTCTTGCTGAGACAGGGCTCTGATGGAGGAGCTGCTTTAGTGCTGCCTAAGAGCAAACACATCTCCCGACTGGGGCTCGGGGATGCCGAGGTGGATGCGCTGCTGCAGGAGTGGGGACGGCTTCTCGCTCTGACAGGAAAGACACTTTGGGGACAGGACAACGAACAGGAACAATCATGCAAAGCACCATCCTCCTCTCCCCTCTTCACTTCTCACTGTGGTGGATCCTATTCTGCTTTTGGCTGGGTGGGTTGCACAGTGCCCAGAAAGCACCAGACTCCTTGTACCTGCCCGTGCCAGGAGCTCAGTGCTCTGTGGGGGGATTAAAAGGTGAGCAAGGAACCACCCAGAGCACCCAATAACAGCCAGAAAGTGGGCTGGAGTGTCCAGGGTTTGGGATTATCCCGACAGAGGTGGCTCCTCTGAGTGTAGCTGCCTGGAGGGAGGGCATTTCGGGCTAGCCCCACACTGCAAAATTCCCTGCCGTCTGTGTGGATGGGGAGCTGCTGTGTCTCCCTCCTCCCTTCAGCTAACTGATGCTTTGGCCAGTGAAGGWTTGTGCAGGCAGTCAGATCCTCCACGTGCAACAGGGTTTTCATTGCCCAGCATCAGCCCTGAAGCTGGTCCTGGGCCCAACTGCTGTGAGAGGTAGAAGGAAATGTGTCGGTTTGAAGCAAACTGCAAAAGGACAGCACGTGGGTGGACGAGAGGGCAGCGGAGCTGGCAGGAGGGATTCCCAACACGGGACAAAATCTGCAGTGTGCACGGAGAGCACAAACTGCAGCTGACAAAGGGAGTGCGGGCGAAGCTACCGCCGCGGGGAGACAGGGTGTCGTGTACCCCTGTGCAACGCGACACGCGCGCTCAGCGGAGCCCCGACCCCGCAAGCAGACGGGACGGCGGTTCRTCGTGCTTTAGAAGTGCCTGTTGCAACCTCACGGGTCGGCATTGCCTTTGCTGCTCCTTTGAAGTTGGACCATTTGCTTTTAGAGGCTCCCCGGCCGCTGCTGTCCCCGGCCGCGCTGTCRGGAGGTGACACTGCGGAGACTCTGCTACATCATCCCCTAACAAGGCAAGAGGAGGAGGTTAATGGAGAAGAAATTATTAACTAAAAGATGTAATTTGCCTCTGATTTTCATAGATATTCAAGAACCTCTCTGAGCATTAAGACACCAGCTGTTAGAGAAGGCCTTAATTTGGTGCATTTGAAACATAGCAGGAAGCTGCCAAATACCAGGGATTAAAAGCCTGTTTCTGCAAAGTAGGAGCAAGAACCTGCTATCAGAACAAGGGGCTGAGTATTTTAGCGGGATTTATAACTGCTGGGATCATTTAGCTATGCAGATGTGACAGTCCTTTGAATGGTGTCTGCTTCCCATGTTGCTGCATCTTCAGTGTCTGTGATAAATAGGATATTCTGGCTCGGTGGGCCGTGGCGGCGGGAGGGAGCCTTTGTGCTGGTGTGAGCCACATCCTGCGCAGCACATGAGGCAGCGGCACCAATCAGCTACAGTGGCAGCCCCATCCTGTTGGGTTTGGGACGGTCCCTTTGTCACCCAACAGTCCGCAATGTGGATTAGAGCCTTGGCCCTTTGACTTCCTAGCGCGTCCTTCTGCCCAGCGTGACATGGGGATGGAGCTGGGCCCTGCATTTCTCAAGAGGTGGTAAATCCCAGAGATGGGTGCAGGGAGAAAATACTGGCCTGCAGAGCATCTGTGGCCAYGTGCTCGTAATGGGCATTGGCAGCRGGCAGTGCAGTTGATGTTGGCATCTGTGGCATCTCACGCATGATCATGTTGCACCCTCCAGCCCAGCCCTGCTTGCACGTTCCTTCTAGGGGCCTTTACCGGGTACCAAGGACCCTTTGGCCCCCATCATGTCACTGAAGTGAGAACTAAGTTCAAACTGTGCAGCTCAGGAGCTGAGGTGGGAGCTCTGTGTGTGTATTTTAATACCAAGGTGGCTCACTAGCCATTAATCATCACTGCTGTGGTAGAGGTGCAAGCCAGAGCCAAAACACAACTTCTTCCTTTCCTCTGAAACCAAGCGCCCTTCCCGGGGCAGATTTCCTGCCATATGTTCTGTCTGGGAGCAGACGAGGGCTCCTTAATTGTTTTCCAAAAATCCACTTGGCTCCTTCCCCTGAAGCTCCCTCATTGCTCAGGCAGGATGGGGAGAGCTGCCTGCTTCGTTGTTTTCTTCCTTTGCTTTTTCCCYCTCCTTTGCCCCTTTGTTTTTACAGTGGCTTTGCCTTTCTGGCAGGGCGCTGTGGCACATTCGTGCACAAACGGGGCCGCGGCCGAGCCCTCCCAGCGCCGCAGGACGCGCCGCGCTGCCGCCGGCTCCGCGCAGCCSAGACGAGGGCCGTTTGCGCTCTCCCCAGGCCACCGGGGGATTATTTTCCAAATGGCTTCTTTGTTAGTCCCTTATCTGCTCTGTGCCATCTCTTTGCCACCCTGGGAATAGAGATTTTTGCTTTAAAAGCTGTTTGCGGTCTCAGCCTGTTGCTTTTTTTCAATTAATATGTAGCAGGCCCCAATTACTCCCCGTGGCGCCGGCTTTSCTCAATGAGTTGTTGCCGTGTGGTGGACGGGCTGTGGGTGCGGTGAGCGGCTCGCTGTGGGGCCGAGTGCTSCCCAGAGGGTGGTTCTGTGCCCGACATGCCCTCTTTTCCCATCCCAGCCTCCTGTTTTGCCTCATGCTCCCATGGCAGCTCCTGGGTGTGACATACAGCAGAGCTGTCTGCCCCGTCACCACTATCCCTGATCAGCCTCATCCCTGGCCTAGGGTGCCCTGTCCTCCCGGTCCAGGGGAGCCCTGGACGCTCCTGCAACACACAGTCAGTGCGAGACGGGGGTGCTTGGTGCAAACCTGCTGCCTCTGGAGCCTAGGACCTCCAGAAAGGCTTATCTCCATGAAGGTACGTGGACGCTGGCAGACAGCGTGCCAGGACACTGCACCCACATGGGGCATCATCATAATACTGACGGCAAGTTAACTTTAGATTTGTCGCTCTTTCTTCTCGCCTCTTTCCTCCCACCTAATGAGAATGGTGCGGTGCGCTGGCAGCTCGGGCTAGGAGCATCCCGGACACAGCAGTGTCCAGTTCCAGGAGCATCCCGGGCGCTCCGTACCCACAGTAGGTGCCAGGAGCATCCCAGGTGTCCAGCACACGGGATGGCTGCCGGGCTTGGCGGGTGCCGCGTGAGAGCCGCTCGGCTCAGCGCTTGGTGCCCATCCCAGGTGAGGACTTTCTGCCACCCCGCTGGAGTCTGTAGCTCCGTTACAGTGAACTCCAGTACCGTGAAGCCTGTAACTGCATTAAATTAACATTATTGATTTTTTTTCTTTCCCCCACCTCTTGCAAACCTCTAAATGCAGAGTTATAATTGGGCTGTTGTTTATGCCTGTGCTGGTGAGCACGCTGCATCACTGTGTCCCCTCGAGCAGCTTGTTGCCTATTACCCTTCAGGCCTGGAGAACAGATAGGGCTCCCTTCCAGTGCCTGCCTTCAGTTTCATTCCTTTTTTTTTCCTGTTATTGTTATTATTTTTTGCCACAGTTCTATTACCTGT